TATTATTATTATTATTTTAATGATATTATTCAGATGATTGATTATCTGTTGATATGTTGATATATATTTTTTAAAATGTTCAATGATTGAAAGTAGTCCACTAGAATTAAACTAATACTAGGGATTAAACGAATGTGATATTAGTCATATTACTCAATCATTAATCTGTTTGTAAATATTTCAGTCATACAGGTGGTTAATCACAGCCTGAATATTTCAATGGCAATAGTTAAGACTATGAAACTGAATGATCACAGATATGCACCTTACTTGATGAGTGCCAACTGACACGAAACCTGGGTTTTCTAGAGACTACTTCCGACCATTTTATATTAAAATATGGTGTATATCATATTGAGTTAATTAAAGTAGTGGTCATATATACGATTTGTTCGATAGATTTCAATCAAATACCTAAGGTTTAGAATAGTATGACATTGAATCCACTGCTCATTAGTCAATCATTGCACACTTGAATATGATCAGTTGAAATTTATGTAGGTAGATCGTTTAATTGTGTTCTGTACATACGTGATGTATTTTTCCTGTTCATTTAGTTCTACCAATATGTTTATTGAAGTTTCGTTGTGTTCATAGTTGTTATGCACAGACAAGAGTTGTGTAATTTGTAAATTACTAATACCTATTCATCGTGTATTAAATGTTGAGAAACTTTTAGTGCTTATAGCTAACAAATTAAACTCTGGTAAGAAGGCCGTTTAGTTTGTTTTACTATCTTTGTATCTATCCTTACCAGTCTATCTTAATTCATAAAGATGGTGAACTCGTTTGAGTCGTTTTTACCTTGACAATTGTTAACCTTTACAGACCTATAGATCCTGATAGTAAACATTGGTGGTTCGTCAAACTTTTGACTAAGTATGCATCTGTTTAGCTTCCATGTAGCCTTTGACAAATAGTAAAATAAATACTCAATTTTTTCTGCATGAAAGCCTTCAATGTTTTTGTACAACTAATCTGTAAATACGATCACTAATTAATATTGAGTGACACAAAAAAACGGAGTAAAATTCTTAAAGATAATATATAATTATTGAGAAGAAAGTAAAGTTATTGGCAAAAATAAAACATAAATTTTATCCACCTGGTACGGAAATTCAGTATAAAAGTAAGTAATTAAAATTTTTGTAAGCTTAAGAACAGAGTTTTTCTTTTCCCAAGATTTTTATAGCACTGACATTAGTTTATTTGATTATTTTCTTAGATTTACGATGTAACATCAGCTAAACTTTACACTAGTTAATTTGTATCATATTTACTATGTTGGTATTTTTTTAAAATCGATTCTAATCTGTTTATGCATTATATATATATTCAGGTTATTCAATTAGAAGAGGAATTAGTTCGTGTACGTGAAGAAGGTGTCATGTCAAAAGATGTATTCAAAGATCAAGCACAAAAACTTCATGAACGTGTTCAAGTTACATCACAACGTTATCAAAATTTAGAACGTAGACGTCAATTAGAAATGGAAGGTTATCGAACCGATATTAGTGTATTACGTAAAAAATTAAAAGAAGTTGAACGACAATTATTAAAGGTACATTGTTTGTGTTAATTTATCATGTTGTGTTATTAGATGACAATACAGTTTAATTAATCTGACTCGATCAATATTAGGCTTAAAATTCACTAGATTTGGTTAGGAGATGTCATATAGAGTAGAACTATGGTTGATAATTGTGGTCATCTGTTCATAGAATAAAAGTATGAAATTTAACATACTGATAGTTTAGTCGCCCTTAACCTATTTTTTCTTTCAACTTCTACTTCTGTATTAATTACTACTGATTGTTTTTTTGGGGTAGGAGATATTTGAAGATTTTTAACACATCGAAATCGATAAAGACATTACTGCCATGCCTATTCAAAATTGTATTCATGTAATAAGTAGTAGATTGATAATTCTAGTGGATAATGCTTACAATTTTAATCATATATTGTCAAAAGAATTAATCTACTAATAATAAATAGATTGTATTAAGTAAATAAATAAAAATAAATAAGCATATGGTAATTACTTACTTCTTTCAGTACGTTATTGTTTCATTGAACTGTATAAATATTAAAATAACATTTCTTGATCGATCACTGTGAAAGACTATAATTTCAAACACAAAAATTACGACTACTAGATTCGTTGATAAATTTAAAAGGAAATTACGAATAACATGACGTATTTCACAATTTCTCATCAACCTAAAATTACAATTATCAGTCTAATTCTTCACAAATATTCACATACGTTAGTTTGTAAAAGTTAGGCGAAACCAAAATCATATTAATGATAATATTTGAAATAATCAATCAACCATTGTTAGACCACCATTAGAAACCTGGAAGCACTGGACGGCCGTTTCGTCCTGATATGGGACTCATCAGCAGTGTGCATCCAGAAGAAATAAGCATACAAAATGCTAGATTAGGATCGATAAGTATTTATATATTGAAAAGTGGTAATCTAGGGTAGATTAAATGATGTAATAGTTATTAGTAATCATAATCAAGAATTGGAAAAGGTTATGTAACCTTAATGGGATTAATAAGTGATTGAGTAGTCGCTCAATTTAGTAAAATAAGCTTTCGAACACCATGGCAGAGAAAAGTTGATCACACTTTCCTTTTGTATACAAAGGTCAGGTCAGAAACGTTTGATAGCATTCACCTCTGCGAACTAAAGTGAGATTGTTGTTTTTCACCTGTTAATTATTTTGAATGCATTTTATGCATTCAATTCATGTCCACTATCTAAAAGGTGTCTGGTAATCGTACTTGTAAAGATTTTACTTCCTTCCAGCTGTAGGTTCCTAGGAATGTGCTTAGAACATATATTAGGGGCTCTTCTCTTTGTTCTTCCTAAATACTTGCAGCCATAGATACGTGTGAATCTATAGATGCAATTAAAGGTGACGTCAGAAAGGTATCGGTGTACTTGTGAATGGTATAAGAAACATTTGGTGTTGTATAGTGAAACCACTTGAGCAGCAGGGAAGATATTTCGTAAATCCTACTTAATTTGTTCAATAATTGTTCCTGAAATCTTATTTCCCCTGAACGAGAAAGGGATAAAGACAGTATCTTTTTGTAACAGTTATTTGTTTATCATTCTTTGGATGTTCGTAATAAATTTCTTTACGCGTCCATTCTTTTTGAGGGTACTTTTCTAGAATATCCAATTCCTCATTTATTTTGCCGTTTCAACATACACTATTCAATAAGGTCATATACATGTTATATTGTTACAGAACATGATATAATTATGTAAACGTTGGATTATTAACATATATACCAATGTTTTTAGTCATCAAACTGATATAATGATTATTTATAAGACTTGATTATTTAACTTTTCAAATTTAATTTTAAAAAAATTAAATGATGGAAATTTAATTAATACTTAGGGTATGTCTTCTGTTGAACGTAATTATATATATATATATATATATATATAGAAGCAATTTAAAAATTAGTATGATATGATTTAGTCAACTTCGATATTTTATTCAACGAGAAAATCTGCAGTTAATCAATAATCACTCACTCCTTACTACTAAATTTATATTCAGATACATTCGCGTCTCTGAGATGATATTTGTATTTTATTTTATTCGTTAATTCATCCACATAAAACTATCAAGAATAAGTTCAAAGTTGGGGCAGATTTTGACAGTTCTTATTTGATAAATTCCAACGTGTAAAGGAGAATAACTTATTTACTAGGTACAGTTCTATGTACTCAACTTTAAATCTTACTCTAAGTTTGAGGGCTAGTGATACTACTCAGTAGAGTGAAAGGAAGTAGGTGATGAAGCAGGTTTTTTGAATCTGTATCTTATAAACTGACAACTGAACACTTTTGACCACCATTCAACAGCTCCGAACCTGTTTGTATTTCTATCGTAAGTTGTAAAGTCGTGCTGGTGGTAATTGGTTACAATTAGCTTTCAGTTAGAGTTCCTAAATGTGTTAATCTTTTTGAAACAATAAAAAAAATTCCCATTAGACATTCATTTAATTTTTTCCACTTTCTCTAACTGTCTGCGTGCTGTTTTTTTTTCCAGTTAACTCTTGGTTTAACCGATGGGCTCAATCTACCAGAATCAATCAATGTTCATGAGCATAAAGATATTGATCTGGCTCTGCTAAAGGAAGTCAAAGCTTCAACAACACGATCTAATCAAATATTAAATGAATTGAAAAATCTTAAAATAAAAATGTATTCTTTAGAGGATGAATTACGTAAAATTTGATATATATATATATATATTGTCGTCATTATCTTTTTTTATGTCATTCACCCTTTCCTTCTGCGCGTTCCATTGACTGTGATGTAATTTCATATTATGTAACTAATAATTGTGTACTTTAACAAATTTCGTTCTATTTTATACTTTTCTACTGATAACATTTACATGTTATTATTATTACTTAGCTTTTATTGTTTGCATTTGTTTAAAAATTTCTCTTTTTATACTCATTGGTAATTTTTGTACATTGTTTTAAAAATGAATTATATGATTATGAAAAATCTATATTGATTATGTATTGTTACTTACTTACTTATGCCTGTTACCCCCAATGGAGCATAGGCCGCCCACCAGTTCCCTCCAACCAACTCTGTCCTGGACTTCCGTCTCCAGTTCTGTCCAATGTTTGTTCATTCCTCTCATATCTCTCTCTATTTCTCGGCGTAATGTGTTCCTTGGCCTTCCTCTTTTCCTTTTGCCTTGAGGGTTCCATGTAAGGGCTTGTCTCGTGACGCAGTTAGGTGCTTTTCGTAGTGTGTGTCCTATCCACTTGCAGCGCCTCTTCCTGATTTCCTCTTCCACTGGAATCTGGTTTGTTCTCTCCCACAGTTCGTTGTTGCTGATGGTGTCTGGCCAACGAATACGAAGTATTTTGCGTAGACAGCTGTTGATAAACACTTGTATCTTCTGGATGATGGCTTTCGTAGTTCTCCATGTTTCCGCTCCATACAGTAGAACTGTCTTCACATTTGTATTGAAAATCCTTATTTTGGTTTCGGTTGAAAGTTGTTTAGAGTTCCAGATACTTTTCAACTGTAGAAATGCAGCCCTTGCTTTGCCAATCCGTGCCCTCACATCTGCATCCGATCCACCTTGGTTGTCGATGATGCTGTCAAGATATGTAAATGTGTTAACGTCCTCCAAAGAATCTCCATCAAGAGTGATTTGGTTTGTGAATGTTGTGTTGCATCGTAGAATCTTGCTTTTTCCTTTATGTATGTTGAGACCTACTGCTGCAGAGGCTGCTGCTACACTGGTCGTCTTCTCTTGCATTTTTTGTTTCGTGTGCGATAGAAGAGCCAGATCGTCCAGCTGCATCCTAGCTGTCCGCTGGATACGGTGCTTCCCTTCAGATGTTGACGTCTTCATAATCCAGTCGATCACCAGAAGAAAAAGAAAGTGTGAGAGTAAGCAACCTTGCCTGACACCGGTCTTCACATCGAAGGAGTCTGTTAGCTGTCCATCGTGTACGATTTTGCAGTTGAATCCATCATAAGAATTCCGTATGATGTTAACTATTTTCTCAGGCACACCGTAGTGTCGAAGAAGCCTCCACAGTGTTTTCCTATCCACGCTATCGAATGCTTTCTCGTAGTCGATGAAGTTGATGTATAGTGGTGAGTCCCATCCAATTGATTGTTCCACAATGATCCATAATGTAGCAATTTGGTCATTACACGATTGATCCTTACGAAATCCGGCCTGTTGATCTCGAAGTTGTGTGTCTACGAAGTCCTTCACTCTGTTTAATAATACCCTGTTGAAGACTTTGCCTTCGGCGCTAATGCGGGTCCCAAGCCCAGATGAAGGAAGAGGGGTTGGACATGGAGTTGGCGCCCCCATCCATACTATAAACTAACTTGTCAAAAAAACACTAACCAGAAAAAATAAAAAATATATCGTTAGGTTAATGTGAAATGAACAGCAGAAATTAAATATAAGGTTTATTTGATGAGGTTTTAAGTTTTCCGGATATTTTTCAGTTATTTATAACGTTATTACCAAGGCATTGAGTTACTTTGTTAATGTTCAGAACTGAATTCCAATCAGTTTTTGCATAGATTTATGCTTCGTATCCAAATGTGAACATTAACACCGGAATGCGGATTCTCTCAGCTAATGAGCACTGAATGAGATGAAGAATCTTTATTGAATTCCACTAGTAACCATAATCAATCTATCTTAAGTTGTTAATGGTTAAAGACTTTGAAGAATATCTACTGATTGCTGTTACTTTTTAATGACACTATAAAATCATTGTGTTCAGCGAATACGATAACTCTGGAATCCTGTTGGTTGAATTGTTGGTATGTGATATAGATTGTCTTGATGCACGAAATGAATAAATACGATGAATAACTGTGTTAGACCTGATTTTAATTATATCATCTCCATAGTGTTAATTATATTATTCCCTTGTTTGTAGATAGTAATTAATTATATCGACTGAAATCTTTCGTCACACACCAATACCAGCTAAACATATTGTCAGTTTAAAAACCAATTTCAATTTACCAATCTATTAGTTACATTGTGGTATAGTTAAGTAATTTTTTTTGATGTGTTGTCTGATGAAGTCGTTAATGTCTAAGATTATCATTTATAGTAATCAGTGAAAATAGTATCACATGAAAAAAATTCTTTTCTCATTGGAAATATTTTTCTAATAATTTCTGCTGTCCCGTAAAAATATTTATTCGAAACAATTTTTTTTTATGACTTTATCATCTTTGTTGAGATCTTCACTTCCCCACCATAATACATCGATTCATTTCGAATAACTTTCATATTGATAATTTTGAATTTAACATATTAAAGGTTGTAAGTAGTTAATGGAGTATCTAGTGGGATAAAATGAACTGACAAATTTTTGTTTTTACTCCATTTCATAACAGTATTGACAAGATTCAATGGTATTTGTTAGTTTCTTATGATTAAATTAACTGAATCTTAATGTCAAATCACTTAGTGAATTTAGTAGATTTTTGTCATTCAATAATTATGGCATTAAATTTTTAAACAATTTGTTTTAGATACAAATTTTACTTTACTTAGTGTATGTGATTGTATCATGTTAGAACAGAGCTTTTTCAATATTAACGATTCAACAACACAAAAAAGGAATCTATGATTGATTCCGTGTCGTGAAATAATTTCATCAAGAAAGTTAAATTCAGTACAAGAAGCATTGAAAATTCAAAATGAATTGAATGAATTGTTTCAATTATTCTATATGATTTAATTCGTAATCAATATATTTTCCTTCCCTTTATTTTGTGTGATTGAAATAAAGAATTTCATGTAAATTTTGAACGAGAATGTGACTTTCTTAAAATACATTAAGATTATTATCTCATGTATTCAAATATTATAATGTGATTGTTTCCGACGACTGTTATTATTTCTATTCAATCTTTATGAAACTAGTAATGTTTTCTTATAGCTTCAGATTCAGTCGGTCAGTCAGTCAGTTGCAACGCAGAACTTCGTACGTATGTACATAAGTTCATGTTGCCATACCACATTAGCCACTAGCTTCAGGTTATGAGAATAGCGTACAAAAAACTTACTTCTTAACTCGAAATAATAATCAGATTCAAAATATTCACAGAAATAGAACTTCAATCTCTTTTTTTTTTTATAGATGTTTGAATAAATTAAAGATATGTAAGTAATCCTCTAGTTCTTTTTTATTTAATCAGATAAAAAAACATTATTTAAACAATATTTACATATATATTAGTTTTTAGTTGTTCAAGAAAAAAAAAGTACTTGTTTTTGTTTTTAAAACTCATATTTGAATTACTTTGTTTTATGAGATTTTTAAAATCATTTTAATGTTTCGGAATAAGAAACCAAATGAGATTCTTAAATATTTCATATCTATCGGTTATTTAACTCTTCCTTACAATGGATCAAGCTGTTTTTGGCATATATACCTTATACTGTATAGTTTGCCTCGATATTGTCATTAAGTTATAAGTAGAAATAGTTGGAAAAGGAAGATATTTTTCGTTGAATTTCAGTGTAAAATTTTTTAGTTCACTGTAAATTACACAACTCCCACCTGTTGTGTCAGGTGGACAAGTATATACAATACTGTTTGATCATTAACTGATAATTTTTTAATAAATGTGATATTCAGTCAAAATGATAATCAATTTACTCTATTTTTAGTTGACTCTAAAGGACACGGAATTTCCTTCATGAATAAGCTAGCAATTCATTTTTTCATCAGATGTAAAATATTTTCTTTTGAGGAAATCCTGCGTAGTTTAGTGAACCGGATTAATTCCCTTGTATGTTCTTAGATAGGGAAGAGTTTACTTCCTTCTTGAGATGTCATCATGCAGCTTGGTTTTTATAGCCTCTTTCAGAGACATCTTACTCAGTACACTTACATTGTAGTGGACGAATTTCTGAAAACAATAATTGTTCTGTGGCGAAACCGGCATAATGGAAATCGAGGGTCTACTTTAATTCTATAGAACATTCTGAATGTGCACATAAGTTTCAAGGTCCTAAAGAGATGAATGTAGTGCCATCTAAAGTTATTAAGTCCTCAGATTATATAATCCTTATGAAAAATTTCATTCAGTCCTAACAAAAAACTTGACAACGCGATTGAGTAAATCATACTGTAATCAACGTAGACGGAAGCCGAGATTACGTGAACCTTTTATTCGAGGAAGATGCAATCTACTAGCCAAGACATACACTTTTTATCATAAAAAATCCATTCGCAAAACAAGCTTATTCTTAGCTGTCTTGTTCCACATATCTCCTATTCTTCAAAATACCCAGATCTCGTGAAACCTCTTTCTTCAGTCGTAATTTCAGGACTACATTTTGCTGTATATCCAATGGCATACTACTTATAAGCTCCTCCCTAAGTAGTATATATCACAATACTACAATCTGATTATCTTTTAAGTGTTCTAATCTCATTTTTAATCGAACTCAGTTAATAAAAAAAAACAACGCAAAATGAATGCAGTTATCTTTTGGTCAAAGCAGAAATCATGCTTTTTTGTTGTAATAAAAATTTTTTCACACTAAAAAAAGCTGATTATCTCATGCTGAACAAAAAATTAACTTTATTGAAAGTTGTCTACTGTGAACTTGACATTTACTATATTCATTTATAAACAATAATACTGAATGCATATTTCACTGTGTTGAATTATCAGTAATATTTGTGACCGTAACCTTTAATTCAAACAACAAAACAAACACTACTGTTCTTGCTTTATCTCTTTTGAAATGTCAATTTATCATTTCATGCATGTGGTGTACTGTATGATTTGGTTGATATTGACAAGTGAACAAAAAAATTTAATAATAAGATATTTCTATGTATAAAAATGCTTCATTTAAGACATTTCACATTCTATTTAATATCTATAAAAATGATTCAATGATTATTTTTTTTCAGTTTTCAAGCTATTTTCTTATCAGAAACAAAAAACACAATCTATACATGTTCTTTTTCTTGTAACTAAAAAAAGCTG